ATTGACAGAGTCAGATGAAATTAAACAAGGCTGCAGTTCATCAAATGAAACAAAAACTTTGAGGAAGTTTTAACATTGTGAGATTTTACATGCAATTAAATACTCTAATACTAGGTCACTAACTAATCTGTTTCTCTTGTCCTCACTTCCTTAATATGCTGAGTGATGTGGAAAGTCAGGTAATGTGTGGGGACAATGAAATTACAGTGAATTATAGATTACAGTGACATTAACAGGTACATAGCCAACTCTGTAAAATTTGTTCTTTCTGCCCCACCAAAAAAGTGATTGGTTGAAAACTTATGTTCTCTCCTGGATCATCAATTAAAGTCCAAATTGTCTCTGTTAGTGATTTTTTTTTTCAAAAGAAGGAGAAACTTCTGGTAATTTTAACCATTGAGTCATAAAAGTGCTTTGTCTATTTTAGATGAACTTATTCAGTCTTACACACTCATCTGGGTCACTCTAGATTATTCACTGACTGTTAGAAATTAGTGATTCAATATTGAAAAAGTTATCTAAGACTTCTGAGTATTAAGAGCATTTCTTTTAATTAAATATAGGATGCTAACAGCATTCCAGGGTCTCTGTGCTTATTCTGTTTGGGCATTTAGAATGAAGGTTATTTCAAGGGCACCTGTTTTTTCTTTCCTACTCAAAGTAGAGGGTATGTCTTTTCTGAGTTTCAGAATAACAAAGGCAAGGACCACATCTCAATTTGTGACTTCAGTGTATTTTCCCTTTAATCTTCTTTGTGGCAGACTCAGCTGGTTTTAGGAAGTACAGAAGGTTGGCAATGGTAAGATGGTTTTAAAAATCTGGATAAATGGCCCAAGACAGGCAGATCAGTACTCAGAAATGCTGGTTGCTGGTTCTCTCTGGATTTATTTGGTCTAAATTTAAACATTTAAATTCCTTCCTTTAAGAAACTCTTGAACCTCCTGCTGAAGGTTTGTTTTTCAGTAAAAATTTGCTTCCCAACTATTTCTCTTTATCTTTTTTGTTGTAGATATCATGCATACTATATCATAAATATAAAAATTTTAAAATCCAACTCCTGGTGTGTTTCCTCAATATCTTCAATAGTTATTTGTATCATTTTGGAAAGAATGAAAACAAAACCAAAAATCCCTATACCTCTAGTCTGTTTGAATTCTATCTTTCAAAGGCATTTATAGGAAGTTATGATGTTTCTTCTTTATTGTTAGACAAAGATTTTTTTTTAATTTAAAAATTGGGTCATGGTGGAATTGGAATGAACCTTGAATCAACAGTAGGTTGAGAGCAATAGAGAGTTCAGGCATAGCCACCCCCTGGGCAAGTCAATCTTGATTTACTTATCTAAAGGTTACAGAAGGAAGTTGGCACAGAGAGACTGGCAACATGCTCTGAGAACAACCCTAGTGTCAGTTTTTGAGTTCTTCACAAAGCATCTCATCAGTGGAATTGAGGTTAGTGAGTCTGCATGAGTGAAGTCATATCAGGACTTGTTGGAGTTCAACTCTCTTCCCAGCCTCATACATAAAGCTGAAGGTGCACTGCACATAGTTGGTCTAGACAGATGTGGAAGAGCACTTCACCTGGGTCAGGAGTACCTCTTGAACCTTGAGGTTTTATAATGTAAAACATGATTATGGTGTATGGTGCTGCACACAGTAAACATAGGGATAAATATCACCCAAAATTCCAACCCACAACCTCCTTAGGCTAATGCAGATTGTTCCAAACACTTTCTTGAAAATAGTTTTCTTATCCTGAATCCTCTGGAAGTCATAGTAACAGGCACTTAGACTTACAGTGAGAAGACACAATTGGTACAGCCTGAACTCGAGTGCTGTTCATGGTTCTATTATCCCAGGTGGCAATTTATTAAGTTAAGTAAAATTCTAATTCAATTATGTATCAACATGGGAAAATATTGACTTACCTTCTTTTCCTGTTGGTAACTTAAGGAGTTTTACATGTTAATATGTTGAGGAAATTCAAACAGCTTTTCTTACCAGTACCTTGCAACAATGGTTAGGGAAGACAAAACTCTTTTCAGACAAATGGTCAGAAAATATTCATTTATCTTCTCTTCTGGTTGGAAACATAAAAAAGTATTATATGTTAATATTTTGAGGAAGTTCCAACATCTTTTCATATTAGCGTCTTGCAAAATAAAAGACTTTTAAAATACTTGGGTGAGTAATAAAAATTTGAATAGATGTCTTAGCAAAATATTTGCTAAATTGGGCTTTCCTGCTTCAGAAGGGAGAAATCTTTCTGTCTTTTAAATTATATGACTTTAAAAATCACAATGAAGTTGTATTATTATTAACCTTGTTCCCTTAGTTAATCAAGTCTCACATTTTTCTTCGACTGATATTCTGGAACAAGACTAGTATTTCTATTCTAGTCTGTCACCTCCATCTATAGTGATCTCTCCTCAAAATCATATCCAAACTTAAAATGAACTGAAACTTTGAATCCTGATCCTATGCACATTCAAACACAGAGCCCACACCTCTAGTGAACAATTGTTTTGGTCTCCTTGTCTCTGTGAACTCTATGAGGACAAGGCTGTAGGCTATGTGCGTGTGGGGACCCTACCTTGTTCCTCACTTATCTCTCCATCTCCAATCAAGAGTGCTTTCTCCACATTACGTTTCAAAAAGCTTTTAATTTAGGAATTAGAGTATCTTTAATTGGTAGAAATCTTTTTTCATTTTAAGGAATATACGTGTGCACTTTGAAAAAAAAAAGTCACTCCATGTTCTACACTTAAATTCTATAGATGGGGGCTGGCACCTTGGCTCACTTGGTTAATCCTCCACCTGTGGCGCTGGCATCCCATATGGACCTCGGCTGCTCCTCTTACAGTCCAGCTCTCTGCTGTGGCCTGGGAAGGCAGTGGAGGATGGCCCAAGTGCTTGGGCCCTGCACCCTCATGGGAGACCAGGAGGAAGCACCTGGCTCCTGGCTTTGGATCACCCCAGTTCCAGCTATTGCAGCCATTTGGGGGGTGAAGCAATGGAAGGAAGACCTTTCTCTCTGTCTCTCTCTCTAGCTGTCTATAACTCTACCTGTCAAATAAATAAGTAAATAAATTCTATAGACGTAATATGTAAGGGCAAGATTATGGGTCCATTAAAGGCCTTATGTCACAATTTCTCACCATTTTAGATGCTCTGTTACATTTCTTGCTGCTATTTTTGCCCTTTACTTTATTGACTCATACAAAATATTTGAGTTTTGAATTTCTTGAAGGCATTTTATTCAATTACACCAGATTTTCTTAATGTACCTTCTTACCATAATTCCTGACAGGGTGTTAATAGATGTTAAAGTTGTCATTTTTTTTTAACTTTTATTGAATGAATATAAATTTCCAAAGTACGACTTATGGATTACAATGGCTTCCCCCCCATACCGTCCCTCCCACCCACAACCCTCCCCTTTCCCACTCCCTCTCCCCTTCCATTCACATCAAGACTCATTTTCGATTATCTTAATATACAGAAGATCAGCTTAGTATACATTAAGTAAGGATTTCAACAGTTTGCTCCCACATAGAAACATAAAGTGAAAAATAATAGATGATTTTTTTTAAATGATGATGAAATCAGATCAGACCTACTGTCTTGTTTAATCCCAGTGAGAGTCAAGTTGGGAGTTGATAATTTCCTTTTTTTTTTTTTTTTACAGAAGATCAGTTTAGTATACATTAAGTAAAGATTTCAACAGTTTGCACCCCCATAGAAACACAAAGTGAAATATATTGTTTGAGTACTCGTTATAGCATTAAATCTCAATGCACAGCACATTAAGGACAGAGATCCTACATGAGGAGTAAGTGCACAGTGACTCCTGTTGTTGACTTTACCAATTGACACTCCTGTCTATGGCATCAGTAATCTCCCTATGCTCCAGTCATGAGTTTCCAAGGCTATGGAAGCCCTCTGAGTTCTCCAATTCTTATCTTGTTTAGACAAGGTCATAGTCAAAGTGGAGGTTCTCTCCTCCCTTCAGAGAAAGGTACCTCCTTCTTTGAAGACCTGTTCTTTCCACTGGGATCTCACTCACAGAGATCTTTTGCCAGAGTGTCTTGGCTTTTCATGCCTGAAATACTCTCATGGGCTTTTCAGCCAGATCCGAATGCCTTTAGGGCTGATTCTGAGGCCAGAGTGCTATTTAGGACATCTGCCATTCTATGAGTCTGCTGAGTATCTCACTTCCCATGTTGGATCACTCTCCCCTTTATTTATTCTATCGGTTGGTGTTAGCAGGTACTAGACTTGTTTATGTGCTCCCTTTGACTCTTAGGCCTTTCATTATGATCAATTGTGAACTGAAATTGATCACTTGGACTAGTGAGATGGCATTGGTACATGCCACCTTGATGGGATTGAGTTGGAAGTTGTTAATGAAAGCACAGAACTAATTGTTTTAGATTAAAAAATGCTTTCCTTTCATGAAAGCCTCACCTCTTTGGGATTTATTTCCACTGAGATCAGTTCAGTGTCTCAAAATTATTCTCCTATTCAATTTATAAGACTGTCCAGGTGCAATACCCATAATGACCATAGAAATTCAGAGATAGACTGATAAGAATATAAAATACTAGACTTTGTGTAATGGGCAAGGACAAATTTAAGACATATGCTGTGTAAGGGTCAAAGGTTCCAACACATGAAGGTGGGTGGGTGGGTGTTGATGGCAGTGCTGGAGAGTTCCTGTTGTACTTCTGCTTGGCGGTCCCTCTCCACGACCACCACAAGATTTATGGGGGCTACTGCAGGACCCTGGAGGATCCTTGAATCCCTTCTACTGACTCCACTCCTGGCACTTAACTCTGCTTTCACCCCTGACGGTATACCAGACAACATAGAAGGCAGAGGCACTTGCATCTATTTGCCCTGGCAGTAAAGAGACTTTCATCTGTTTTAGCATGCAAAATTCATCAAGAATGTGCTATTAATTCATCAGTGAAATCCTCAAATTTTACATTGTATCCATAGGTCTGGTTTAGCAACCGTCGTGCAAGATGGAGGAAGCAAGCTGGGGCCAATCAACTGATGGCTTTCAACCATCTCATTCCGGGGGGATTCCCTCCCACTGCCATGCCGACTCTGCCAACATACCAGCTGTCAGAGACCTCTTACCAGCCCACGTCTATTCCACAAGGTACAGAGGAAGAGTAAAAGAGATTAAAATGTAACTTCCAATTGCTTTCTCTGGTGGATATTTTATACACTGAGATCCTTCTGCAATGTTGACATTGATGCTTGTTTGCAAATCAATTATATTACATCAGGTTGTCCTGAATGTACCTGTCACATTTCAGAAACATAGTTTGTTGTCTGACATGTCTGAATCTCTCTAGATAAACTATGTGGTAACATAATACCACTGCAGTATTTTAAAACAAAACAACTTTCCTAAACAAACCTGGGATTTGCTTTTCTTTTGTTAAAATTTTACCACTACATTTGTACTCCAGTTTGCAAATAACTGAAGTTCTGTGATGGCTACCAACTGCAGTAGTCACAGAGGAAAGCTCTTTGGTAAAGTTACTATTTGTTAGAAGCACATAGAGATCAATGGGATGATATTAAATACTAAGCCTCAATTATTTTGAGTTATGAAAGATAGCATTCCAACTAAATGCTTTAAAAACGTATTTGATAAGAAATTTGAAACTTGTGGTTCCTTTATTGGCTAATTCTTGTATCGATTAATCACATTCACTACCCAAATAGGCTTGTTAGCATTGTCAGTGTGATTTCTGCATCCATACTCTGGGCAAGTGTGCTATGAGAGTACATACCTAAATTATGTGTCTAGAAATAGGTGCAGAGAGGGTGTGTGACTATTTGCTAGGAATGATTCTAAACCTACATATTAAGAGACACCTTTGACATGAACATTGGATCTGATGAATGTGTAGTACTGATGGCTTAGTGCACCGTGCTGTCTGTGGCCGCCTGCACAGAACTTAATGGCTGACAATCTTTTTTCATTTCAGCTGTGTCGGATCCCAGCAGCACCGTTCATAGACCTCAGCCACTTCCTCCGAGCACTGTACACCAAAGCACTATTCCTTCGAACCCGGACAGCAGCTCTGCCTACTGCCTCCCAAGCACCAGGCATGGATTTTCCAGCTATACAGACAGCTTTGTGCCTCCGTCGGGGCCCTCCAACCCCATGAACCCCGCCATTGGCAATGGCCTTTCACCTCAGGTCAGTCTTGTGTTTCTAGACAGATGACTTGCTGTATACCAGAACCAAATAGTCAATTCCCCGAGGCAGTAGTATAATGAATTGCTAGATTTAAACCATAATGTATTCTTTATACAAGCCACATGATTTCAGTTTTCTAGTTTCCTTTCTCTCCACCCTTCCTACTGGCTGCATCAAAAGTTGTAGCTTAGGTTTAACATCCAAATGATTTCCAATGTAATCACAGAGACTCTGTTTAGACTTGGTTGTCAAGGCGTTTGTCATGTGTTGTCTTCTCCAATCCTGGTTCTGGGCTTTGACTAATGTTCACAAACGTTGGCAGGTTGTGTGTATGTGTGTGTGTGTGTGTGTGTGTATGGTTTTTGCTTCAAATGTTATTTGGTCAGCTGGTAGGGTTGTGGGCAAAATCACCTTGTATGAAAACATGAAAGGTTTGGCAAAAAAATTGGAGAGGAAGCAAACAAGTCGTGTGGAGAGAGACACAGCTGATGACCACAGAACTCTGGAATAAATGAGTTATAAAGGCACAAATTAGAAAAATGACTGCTCTTTGGGAATATATAAATATTTGAATGTTGTAATTGTTTTTCTAATTTGCATTGGACTGTGAGGTTTTCTTGGGAGATCATATTAATAAATGGCCTTGATAATTGCATGTCAGAGGGTTGGTTAAATTTCCTACACGTGGCATCTGTCTCAGGTTGACATTATTAGCGGTTGTTTAAATACAGATCGCTTGATTTTATTAGGGAGCACTTGGCCCAGGTGGTGAGAAGAGCTGCCCACTAAATTTGGAGAAATGTCATAAAGGGGTTGCAATCTATAATTGCAATCAGGAATCTCTTCAGGGCTGAGAGTGAGAGTTTTAACAGCTTTATCTTTTCTCTACCTCCTTTTTCCTCTTGGTGGTTAGAAAAACAGAGAGAAGCTCAGAATGACACAAATGAAAAGTGAAAAGACAATTATACTCAATTACACACTAATCACTGACTATCACCACTGCCTAAGCACCAAGAGGGCATTCTAATAGGCAGAAAATGAGATTTTAATGGCACAAAGGGTGGCCAAAATAACGACTCATATATCTTTGCCTTCTTCGTTTTCTTCAACTTGTGGTGTGTGTCTTGGGAGAGAAGCTCCTGGGCTCTGCGCAATGGTGATAACTCTGAGCAGCTGAAAAGTTCAAAGCCGCTGGAGTTGAAAAGAATGGATGGCAAAGGCAATGAAATAAACATTTCTGCCTAAAGGCAAAAGTTCATAAATCCTTTTTTGTAACAGTAAATGTAATTAAGTTTCATAGATTCCTATAGCACATCCTGGGATTAAAAAAAAAAAAATAAGAGGTGGCTTTAAACCTCAACCGAAAAATAACATGAAAACAATGAAAGTGCTTCCTGTAGGACTTGAGTGCAGTTAGTTTCCAAGTACTGGCATTTGTGGGTGTGATTTCGCATGAAAATTGTGGACTTATATCAATAGAGTCATATTTAAAATACCCAAGTTCATAGCCTATAAAGTTATTCCACAGTCTACAAATAACATCTGAAGTAGTTGTTGAGGTTTTTAACATTAGCATTTTGAGGTCATAGAAAAAAGCTCTTTATGAACATGATTCAGTCACAAGTTTTAATAAAAGTAAACTTCAATCTTAGCCAGTTCTGTCAGGCAAAGTCTAGGATTCCATCAGCATTTCTTAGTACCTTATTTTATTCCATCATTATAAAAATCATAATATGAACCCCGGTTCTGTAAGTGAAACTGCAAGTTTCTCAAATTTTAAGTGTATGATCTTGTATAAGTGTATTATATAAGTATTACATAAATGGATTCACTGGCACTTGATCTTCAAAGTGCTAATCCTTGACTTTAAGGAACCTGGCTATGGTTCCAGAGTTGGTGGTAGGGCGGAAATCATACCAATATCAAGCAATGGAAAATTCCACAGACAATTCTCCCTGTTTTTCTTTATTCTATTTTACATATTATGTTAATTCCTTACTTAATACATTGTAAATATCCAGAATCTTTTGCATTGCTTTTATACATTTCTGCCTCAAACCTCCACTGACAATCCATGTTGCATTAGTTCTTGTAGCCTCCCCATGAGTTAGCAAAGAGACGTATAATAATATTTCCTAGGCAAAGTGAGAGACTAGAAGACAGGAGTAGATCAGTTTTTTTGTAGGACTTATTTACAAAACAATGGAGTAGGAGAATTGGAATCAGATCTCAGATTTCAAAAGCCTTTGGAATTGACTACTGCTTAAGAATGCCCCTATTTAGGTAAGAGATGTCTGCAGTACTTTTAGTAACATTATAAAGAATTCCGTAAAGAAAAATTTAAGTCAAAGGGCTCATGTCTAACAATGTGATTTACCTGTTAACTGTAGAAAAGACCAAAGAAAGGATAGTGATCTTTTAGTCATTGCTTATTCTACAGAAGTGCTTATTAATATATTGGGTCATATAATACTAGCAGCAGAACTAATGTTGTGATTATCATTTCTCCTCTTCCTCTCTGCATCCTCACCTCCATCCTCCACCTCTGTATGGTCATCTAATTTGCAGGAAAATCAGTTGAGGCCCAAAGAGATTATGACCTGATGCAAACCAAGCAACTGATTGGAGGGAACAGGGTCTAGCACCTAGGACTCTTGATTCCTGCTCTATGGTCTTGTCCACTTAACACACTGTTGACATGACAAAAGAGAGGTGGAAAGTTGTAGTCATATTTTCAAATGATTTAGTAGAAACCAGTTTTCTGAACTTTTGGGGTTAGATTAACTTGCATTCTTTTTGCTTAACCTTTCCATTTTTCTTTTCTAATAATCAAAGTACTGCATGTTTATTGTAGAAAAAGGCACATTTAAAAAAAGTATCTTTAGAATAGGAAAAAAATTCCTTTAAGAGAACCACTATTAATATTTTTTTGTATATTGTCTTCTAGCTCTTTTTGTATCACGCCTTTTTGAACAACATAATTGGGGTAGTGGTGGGTATTACTTTGTACTTGGCCCTTTCTCTACCTGTACTTGTTGTCCCTGGCCTTTTCCTACTGAAGAATCAAAGCTGGTTTAAGCTGGATTGGATAAATTGAGTCATTATGGTTAAAACCTTGTACATCTCTTCAGTGGAGGCTATTTGCCATGCTAAATATATTTTTGCATTTTATTTGACTTTTCCCCCTAGTGTCATTGAAATGAATGTGTTGTTTACCATTCAAACTTGAGAAGCACATACTAGAATGTGTGTGAAACAGTGTAGAATGTGCTTTCTAGTTTCTGGTCTAGGAAAGGAATTAATAGGCAACCACAAGGAGAGGAAAATCACTGCTCTGTATTTGTCTGTCTTCGTTTGAATCAATGTCATTGGACAAGTAGGGCTTTGAAGATGCCCTTGGTGCTTTCCTTAGCCCAAGGGTGGGCGTGAAACAGTGACTCAGAAGGGTAATGCCCATCCAGGAGGTCAGACAGCATAGCAGTAGGCTCATGTGTATTTATGACAATTTTAAACTCGAAATACCTACAAAACCCTTTTAACAGCATTGATCATATCCTTCCGTGGGTCATTGAAATGAATTGATGGACTACCAAATAGTACGTTTTGCTTGTTCTGAGGGAATGAACACCTATATTGGGATAATCCCATTTTACTTGTGGAAAAACTTGATACCAAGGTAGCACCAGCTTCTTCTTCTTTTTAGATTTTATTTATTTATTTGAGGGGTAGAGTTACAGACAGAAAGAGTTAGAGACAGAGAAAGATCTTCCATCTGCTTGTTCACTCCCCAAATGGCCACAATAGCCGGAGCTGAGTCAATCTGAAGCCAGGAGCCAGGAGCTTCTTCCGGGTCTCCCATGAGGGTGCAGGGGCCCAAGCATTTGGGCCATCTTCCATTGCTTTCTCAGGCCATAAGCAGAGAGGCTTAGCCCACTATATCATAGTGCTGGCCCAAGCAGCTGTAATAAAGTGAATCACTATTAGGGAGAAGAACCAAATCTCTCACTTGAGTTGTTACTGATTCTTTTATGAACACAAATAACACATTTCAGTAGCTGGTATCTGCCAGAGGAACATATTGTGCTAGGGAGTTTTCAGTGGGCTCTGGTTGAATATTAGACCTGACTTTCCTGCAGGCATGGTGGAATGGCTTCAGAAATGGAGGGCTGGCTTCCCATTCCACTGAAGGCTGGGTCTGTCAGAGAACTTGAAGCAAGAGTCTCAGTGATGGGTTAGAAGGGGTATAAGCTAACGACTTCAACATTTCTCTCTTTTCTGAGTGGCTGCCAACCTGAACACCCCTTTTACGGGGCAGTGTCTGTATGCTGAGAAGAAAGCCCTCCAGCTCGCTCCAGTGAGCTTTCCCCTGCAATAGCTGACGCTTTTGGAAGTTTTGTTTTCTTCCTGCGGAGAGCAGTGTGAAACAAGGGGAAATACTGACCGTTTATTTCCTTTCCATCACAGACACTCTGTGACCAGCACCTTCCTGCATGTGCAGGAGGGAAAAGGAATGCTGACTTGGAATATGAAGCGCCAAGGAAATATTACCATATGTTCAAGACGTGAGAGTAATTAACATTTGGCTCATGTTCTTCCAATTAACTTTCCTTCACAAAAAATAATACTTTCCTGCTCCCCACTCCCAAAACATACATAGCCAGCCTCCTCTCCCTGCAAACAAGACCAATTAAATTAAGGCCCTTTTATCATTGCATGCTCCACCCTGACCCCACTTCTACAAGCTCCACAATTCTTGGGTGACAGCTTCTAATGATTTCTTGAGTGAAATTCAGTATCAGTGGGCAACATGGCTTCCAGGGAGATTTTCTATTGTTCTGCAATGTACAAAAATGGGCCAACTTGGCTGCATTTAGGGTTCATCAACCATTGCAAATGATTCTTCAAATGTTTTGGGTTTGGTAAAACCTAAAACACATTTTTGCCAAGCACTTTTCCTCCTTAATTTTTCAAACTGTGTATTTTAGGGAAAATTTGATCCA